GGTCATCGACGTAGACGAGGATATAGCAATCTCTTGTTGGTGTCATAAAGATGTTGGGCTCTGCTGTGCTGCGTTGAAGTCCAAGTTGTTGTAGGACTTCTGCAAGGTGGTTTTGCCAAGCTTTTGGACTGCTTCTCAGTCCATAGATTGCTTTGAGGAGTTTCCAGATGATGTTGTCCTCTGGTCTGTAAAACTCCTTTGGTGGATACATGTACAAGTCTGCTGTAGCTGCTGCGGCATGTAGGAAAGCTGTTGAGATGTCTCCTGTTCTGGCGATCCAACCTCTGTTGAGGCAGATAGTGAGAAGTGTTCTCAGGACGCAAAAGATAGGTGTTGAGGCATAGATGTCATCAAGGTCGTTGACTGCCTCTGTGTAGCCCTTTGCTACAATTCTTGCACGAACGTTGTTGCCTTTGTCTCTGAGAACCCATCTTGACTGTATGATGTTCTTCTTTTGTTCTGGGGTCAGAGTGTTGATGTCGACTTCCATGTATACCTGTTGTTTCTTCATGGAATCGATCTCATTCTTCATTCCTTCAATGGTCTTCTGTTTGTCGAATCCTTCTGTGTTGTTGACCATTGGTTCCAAAAGGATCTTCTCTGTTTGTTCTTCTGTGATGTTCACAAGTGTATGCTGTGATTTCGACCCCTTTCTTTGTTTGAATTGTCACCTTTGTGATTCTTAGTTTGCTTGTTGGTGGCTCTTGTGCTGTGTCAGGCCTTGCTGGACCTGTTGCTGCTTCTGCTGTTCGATGTTGCTTTGGCAGACTGCCTTCTGCCACTTCGTCTGAAACTGTTCGTTTTGGTGATGGAAGTGATGGTCTGGTGTGACAGCTTGTTGGTGCTGTTGCCATTGGTGAGTCTGCAATGGCACATCGTGTTGATGTACCTGCCGGTGCTGCTAGTTGCTGTGCTTGAAGTTGTGGCTGTTGTGTTGTGTCTGCTCCAAAAGCTTGTGTGCCTGTTTCTGCAGTTGCTGGTCTCCTCATTGGCTTGTAGACCAGTGGTGGTTTTGAAACGTATGGTCCACCAGTGGTGTATGGGAGTGTTGGTGATCTGTTGATCACGTCCATCAGTTGCTTGTTGTACTTTTCTGGTGCTGGAAGCCTTCTGATTGTTCGTGCTCGAACAACCTTGTTGGAAATCCCAATGAGGTTCTCATTGGATGTTGTGTCTTTACCAAGCCATATGCCTGGCATGAAGCGCTGTTCCATCTTTGGAATGACTGCTGAGTTTGGCAACATATAAAGAACTGTTTCACCAAACTCACAGAGTGGTGTTTTGTGTTCTTTATGCCATCTCCTGAAGAAGCTTGTGTTGCCATCTGAATGTATGGCATACCTGTTGAGCAGGTAAGCTGTGTGTCTCACCATCCATGCTACGATGGGATGTTTGCTTGTAAGTCTGATGTCATAGTTGTTCTGCAGTTGGGACTTCAGTGTTCTGACTTGTCCCATGAGTGTTCTGTGAAAGCGTTCGACGCTGCCTTGTGCTTGTGATGTGTATGTTGGTGCTTGTCGAACTGTGATGTTTCCTCCCATCTTAGCTGCTGTTGCTCTGAGAAGTGCTATGAGGTGATCCTCCTGATCTGACTGTAGGATTGTGCTGTTGAGTACAGCTTGTACTCTGCCACACTCCATGAGGAATGTTTGTATGCATTGGACGTGATATTGAAAGTCTGCTGTCTTGCTGTTGACAAGAACTGCCATGCTCATGCCTGTTTCCACGTCAATGCCTGTGAGGATTGGTGTTGTTTCCTTTTCCCCAAGTGTTTTGAAGAAACAAAAGTCGAATTGTACGACTGGTTGTTTGCTGTGTTGTCGTGGGTGGTTGTCTGCCCGTCCTTTGTTTTGAACACATGTTGGACACCAACTCCTGTAGGGAAGGTGTGTGAGTTCATGTTCAGCACGCTCTTGTGCTGTTGGCTGCTCTGGTGCTTTGATGCCTTTTGCTGTTCTGGCATCTAAATGTTCTTCCTCATCGATGTTGTAGTACTCCTCTTTGAACGCCGTGCTCTCCTCAAAGTTGTTGAACCTGTCCATGTGAAGTTCATTGTTGCTGAGGTCTTTGTTGTCCAGTCATCATCAATCCTGTATCCTCTGGCTCCTGATGTTGGCTTAACTATTGTTTGTCTTTGTGGCAATAGCTTTGTGACATCTGGACCATCCATTGTTTGTTGTGGGATGTAAAGCTGAGTCCGTTGTTGTACATGGACTCTCTTCCAGTACTGTCCTTCTTTGATCCAGTAGTCTGCTGTTGCTGGTGTGTCCTTTGGTCCTGGAACTGCTGTTCCTGGATATGCTTGTTGCTTCATGGGCTGCTGTTGCTGTGGTACCAAAGGTTGTTCCACTGGCTTCTTCTCTCTGTGTCGAACTGCTGATCCTGTAGGCTGCTGAGCTTGTTGCTGCTGTTGCTGTGTCGTTGCCTTGGCTGCCGATGCCTTTGGTGTTGCTGATGCTGGCGCTGAAGCTGCTGTTGATGCCTTGGGCAACGGTGGTGCTGGAGGCTTTGTTGTCTCTTTGACTCTGAACCATGTTTCTCCTGACCATGCTGGTCCTGGAAGTCTTCTGTTCTGTCGTTGTTGTGGAAGGTCTTTGTATTTGTCCTCAAAGTCCTCAAGTGTTCCATCTGGCTTGTATGCTATTGTTCTTCTGTAGTTGTCCAGCTGTTCTTCTGGAACTGGACATTGTGCATCTGGTGTGAAGAGGGCCTTCCTTGTTCTCTTGTGTACCCTCACCAGATATCCTGTGCTGTTGTATATCCAAATGTCGTTGTTGTGTGTGACCCATTCAGGTCCTGTTGGTGTAATTGTCACTGGGGACACTGTTGCTCGAATGCCATGTGACGTCTCACATATGTCAAGCTTCATGTTGCTTGGCATTGGGCTGATGTTGACTGTAAGAAAATACAGTCCTTGTTGTTGCTTCAGTGTTGCTTCAAAGCCGTTGGTGTTGGTGATTGTTGGGTGATCGCTAAGCTGGATGTTGAAGCCCTGTGATGCCAGTCTTGTTACTGACAAAATGGGTTGTGACACGTCACACACATAAAAGGGTATGACGATCGGTTGTTGCTTGCTGTTCTTCATGTACACCCATTTGTAGCCATAGACTGTGATGTCTTCCTCTGTTGCTGTTGTAAGTCTTGGGCCTTGTTCTGGGTGAAGTTCATATGTTTTGTATGTTGGAGCAAACCATGGTGGGCAAACATGTGTTGCTGCTCCACTGTCAATCATCAAATCTTCTGTGGTGTTTGCCGGTTGCTCAGTTGCTGGCCGCTGCTTGTTGGACTGCTGTATTGAAATGGCTGCTATGTGGAGTTGTGGAACTTGCTGTTCCTGCGCGCTTGTTGGTGGGAGTGCCAGTTGTTGCTGTGGCAGTGCGCTGACCTGTGTTTGGTCATCATTCCACCATTGGCCGTCATAGTACTGTTGTTGTTGATACCATTGGGTTGTTGCATCATCTTGCCAATGGCCAGTGTATGTGTTGGTTGCAACCTCATTGAGGTTGTGTACTGCCACACGGCAGTCTCTTGCTATGTGACCTGGTTGGCCACATCTGTAGCATCCTTGTGTTGGGACCCCTTTTCCTTTTCCTGTTGGCTTGCCTTTGCCTTTGCCTATGTACCCTCCTTTGTTGTTGGATCCTTTGGGCTGCATTCCTTGCCCAATCTTTCCTTTGCCTTTGTTGTATCCGTAGCCATATCCTTTGCCTTTGTTGCTCTTGTTCTTTCCTTTTCCTTTGTTGGGCTTCTTTCCTTTTCCTTTGTTGTACTTTCCTTTGTATCCTTTGTTGACAGCTCCAATGTCCATAGGTGCCGGTCCTTCTTGGGCGTGTGTTGAGACGCTGGATGTCCCAGGTTGCTGGTGTAGCCTGCTGAGGGCTGTGGTGGCTCTGTAATATTCCATGATTGTTTCACGTACCTCTACGTATGTTGGTGTTGCTCCTGCATTCAAGTGCAGGTGTTGTTGCAGTGGGCCTGATGTCTCGTTCATCAGGACTGCAATTTTGATTTGGTCTGGTAGTGTTGTGTTGTTGTCTCTCTCATACCTTGAGAGCTCGAATTCCCAGTTGGAGAATGACTCCTCGAAGTTGTTGCTGTCAAATGTTGGCTTGAGCAGCTTTGTTAGGTACCCTATGCTTCTTGTTCCTAATGGTATGGCAAACCTGTTGCTGAGCTGCCTGTAGGTCTCAAGTCCCATCTCATGTTGATACTGTCTGCACACTGTTGCTGCAGCTCCTGTTGTTACGTTCACAAGTATGTACTTCAAGTTGTTGTCTAGTTGTACCCATCTGTCGGCTTCCTCCATGTTCTGTGCTGCTCCTCTCAAGTCTGCTTCTGTAAGTCGTTGTGTGGATGTTGCTGCACGTCGTAGGATGTTGGGGTAGAATGGGTCCATGAGGCCCATGTATGCTGTGAATTTGTATTTCCACTCCTCAAATGTGGAATAGTTGCCATCATATGTTGGGGGCTTGAGTTTGAGCCGGTGTGTTGCTGCCAACGCTTCTGTCTGATCCTCTAGTGGTGCTGTTGGTGATGCCGCCATTGTTGCTTTGTAAAGTTTTGTTGAAGCTCCTCCAATGTCTTGGGATCAAGGCTTCTCCCTGTTGTCAGAGTGTTGTTGTTCAGCTGCTGCTTCCTCTGTTGTCTGGTGTGTTGTTTGTTGGGTGTTGTGCACAGTAATTGTTGAGAGTCCCCCAGTGTTCTGGGATCAAGCCCTCTGCCTGTTGTTTACTGCTGTTGCTTGGAGATGCCCCTGGTAAGGCAGAGCTCCGCTACCATGTAAAAGTGCGAGATGTTTCAAGCACTGTTGTCAAGCTGCAACTGTCGACACCTTTTGCTGTTGCACGCACTCAATCTGTATGTTGTCAACAGGAGTTGACTCAAGGCCTTGAACCACAGGCCAGTGTTGATATGACGTGTTGAATATGTACATTGACAACATAGACCAAGATCAACCAAGATCAACCAAGATCAACAAGATCAACCAGGCCCAGCAGAAGTTAGCATTCCATGCATTCCATTAGGCATACACAATCAAGCTTATGGAACCTAGGCGGAGTGCATCTCTGCTCACCAACGAGTGAGCTGATATCCGCCTTGTTCTCGTGCTGTGGGAGCCGCTCACGTCGCAGCGCCATAATCCGAACCTCATCTTCATAGTAGCGCAACATCTTCTCCTCCTACAGAGAGTCTCGCTGAACAGCATGTGTTCTTTATGTTCTTTCATTGGTTTAAAATGTACTTGAGAATGTCTTGTCTACTCCTGCTTCGTCTACTTTCCTTGGATTCGCACCTTCACTCAAACTTTTGTTCATTTGAAAGTCAGTGTCCGCAGCTCCGCAGCTCCTCCTCGTAGAACTGCACCAGGTTGCTTGGCACCCGAACACCAGCGAGCTGATCCGAGGGACTCAGCTCAATCCCTCGGACGCCGCTACCTCCCTTTGCCACTCCAGGATCACCGCCGAAGCGCTTCTTCAGGTACCTTGGCGTTTACGGGAACTCTTGACCCAGAACAGAAGCTTTCCAAGTCATTGCAAAATATATCAAAATATCTTATTCTATAGATTGTAGATTTCTATAGTACATCATGATACATTCGCTATAGTCTAGCTAGCTACCACCTTGGGAAAGCTTCCGGCCGGGACACTCGATGACACTTTCCGTTTCTCGCATTTCCTCTTCGAAATCCTCTTCCTCAAAAAAGAGGACCTCCGGCGGACGCACGTCCATGGTGCCATCCTCATTGGCACCTCTAGGCAAGAAGCGGCAGCGTAGTTTGCTGGCGTTGGCCAACCACAAGGTGCCATCGCCCTCATCCAACACAAACCTCAAATCATTGAAAGATCCAACAGTCCTCTAGTTATATCTCTCGTTAACTTGCTGCTGTCGACATATGTACGTGCACCAAATCCAATGTATGCTTCTGGCATGCTTTGAACTTTCTTGCAACAAGCTGCACGTTGCCAATTTGACTTTCTGTGCCTTCCAAGGAACTCAAAGAGACCTTTAACGATTTCCATCCGCACACGTCTGGCCTATCGTCTCTCATGGTGACGGATGTGTGTTGAGATGTGTTGAGTCTTTCCAGCTGAAAAGTCCATTCTATCTTTCCAACAACATAAAACAGCAACTCATCGCAACCGCCCGAAGAAGTCAATAGCATCACAATGGAATTCTCAAGCGCCTTCTAACCAGCTTCATGTGCGACTGGCCACAGTTGGTTTTTGGTCTTGCAAGAGTCGGAAAAAGTTCTACAAATAGAATGCAAACGACGTGTCCATGGTTGCTCAGGTATGTCATCCGCTTACAAGCGCCTTGGACCTCAAGAAGTTGTTGAGGGCCTTGGGTACTGCTGCCATGCGAGCAACCTCCGACTCTGCCTTTCAGCCAAAATGCTTGACACACTAGTAGAGTTGTCGTTCACTTTGAGAGCCATGAACAATGTGAAGAAATGTGAAGAATAAGTACAGAATCATACAGAATGATACAAATGACACAGAATGTATAGCATAGATCACATTGGACATGTCCTAAGAGTAAGACTTGAGACACCGCGCCTGCTGAGCATATCTGCTCGTGGTACGCAGCTCAATCCTGGCCCCGCCGCCTAGGGGCATGGGCTCCTGCGGTTCCAAACCACCGCTGTTGATGTCGAAGCTGTAAGCGATGTATCTTGCGCCAGAAAAAGGGGAAAGCATGTTTGGGTTCACTTTTTTGTGACAAGACTGGATGCGTTGCGGCGAATCAATTCATTAGAACCAGAAGGGGAAGTGAGTTTGCACGTTTAAGCACAAACTTATGAATGAATTGGTCGAAAGAGACAGGCCATTGGTTAAGTCGGATTACGGCTACGGTCAAAGCATACCTTCCCACGCCCAAGCAAAATATCTCTGCCTGGCAGGAATGTTAGGATGTGCACTTTGGATGGGCACTTGCACCATTCGCATGCGCTGCCAGAACTCCCTGGGCAGCTTGCTCGCCCCTCTGATCCTGAGGCAACAAGGGTGAGCGAAAGCTGTTTCATGGGCGACTGAGTCGATTCTAGCTTTAAACTTTAGAAACCTGAGTATGCCAATGATTGCTATGAGATGCTATGAGTATCAGAGTATCACTATGTGAATAGTGATGGAGCTGATGATACTGATGATACTGGTGATGAGGTTGACGCTGGCGGCTAGCGCTGAATAGGGCAGGAAGTGGACAACAAGAGCGAGAGGGCTTACCTCAAAACTTGGGAACCTGACGATGAGAATCAGCCCGAGGGAATCAGCCAGAATCAGCTGCAAATCAACAGTCATCTAATAGAACAAGCTTTAGAGTCAGAGTATCCACTCCCTTACTCGCTTGCGCAATAGAGGCCTCAAGCCACTGATGCTGCATGCTACCTTTTTTGATCGGAGTGTGAAATCTTGACAGCTTGACAATATCGAGCTGTTTTGGAAAGCTACGACTTTGAAACTTTCTGCTGCTAATTTACCCTATATGCAGTTCAGAGTCTGGCTAACAGCTTCTGCAAGCATCATCTGACGCGACAGACCATCATTGTAGTGAAGCAGTGCCACCTGGTAACGAATTGTCGTTGCAGCAGACTGATTTGGGTGTGACATGAACCCGTTTTGCCCACTTGACATTGCATAATCATCACTAAATCATCCAATAGTATTCTGATCCAGATTTTCCATGATTTTCCTGGTTTTCAGGGTAATATCCTAGGTTTTATCATATTTTATCCAGGTTGGTTTACTCTTGGCACTTTGATAAGTCTTTCGCCTCCAGCTGCCGCAGTGCACTGGGCGTCTCTGCAGATTTCTCTGCTGCAGGGCTCAGTGCTCGTGCTAGGCTTGGCTCCGAGCGTGTGCCAGAGGAGCGACGAAGGCCTGGGCTGATACCCCTGCACTGGTGGTGACTAGAAAACCAGTCAAAATCAAGGCCTAATAAATTCGTGTTAGATTGTTAAAATCTTAAAACATCTTGGAAACACATGACAAGAAATGGTTGAACAATGTTGAACAATGTTGAACAATGTTGAACAATGTTGAACAATGTTGAACAAAAGCTTTCATTCAGAAAAGGTGCTGGCTTAATTGCTTTCCGAGACGCTGCTGCGTCGCTCATGCCTCTCTTGGTGCTGCGCAGCTGCCCTGCGAACGAACTCACGGAGTACTCGAAGCAGTTCAGCACTTGTCCTTGAGAGCTGGAGATCTTTTTCGATCATAGGATTCTGTTCTCAATTTTCCATCATGAAAGGATAACAAAGCCCATGATTGAAAAACTCAATCAAACAGTGAGTTCCAATTTCTGATCTGCCTGTCACTGATCTGGTTCAAACGGGGAGAAGGGAAACGGACTGTTCAGCAGACCAGCTTTCACAAGATATTCATCTCCATGTGTCTTCATCCGTAGAACGCTGATGCGTCCAGCGGGGTCGAGGAAGTAACGCCTGCTCAAAAAGCATGTGCAACATGTGCAATTGCCCCTCATCTCTTGTGAAATTGCAGTGCGTTCAAAGGTGTCCAATGTCGCTATTGCATACTAGTGCTGCATGTTGCTACAATGAAACCCACACTCCAACATGCTTCAGGTTGCTTCAGCTGCGCACCTCTTGGGCTTTCCTTTCTCCAAGATGACGGTCTCAGGCACCAGAATTCCCAGTTTCCCCTGCAGGGACCGCGGATCTGGTGTCCAGATCCCATCATAGCTGAGGGTTCCTGCCAAACCTCCACCCTCCGAGGGCGCCATCTCTGACATCACTCGCAAAAGCCATGTGAAGTCACGCTGGACCGTAGATTCCTGGAGCGCCAAGGCACCAAGGCACCAAGGCCGCCAACCAAATCAACATCCACATTGAAAGGAAACAAGAGTCTAGAGAAGTGAGATCAGCCTGTGAAACACATTCCATCCAACGTGATCCAACGTGATCCAACGTGATCCAACGTGATCCAACGTGATGCAAGCAGTCTTTCCAGTCCAATTCTATTGCAGTCTTTGCTCCTCAGGACGGGCAGCTTTCTGATCCTTCACCCGGCCCGGCGGCGAACGCGCCTGTCAAGGCACCGAAACAACAGGGGTTCTTTTTATGTGGTCAGGTTTGGCAAGGAGCAAAGCAATCACTTTGCAGAAAGCTGCAAAACCATGCAAAACCAACTTGAAAGAGCATCTGTCCAATCGCGCAACTCTACGACAAGGAAAATGAAGAGCGCATACTCAGTGAAGTGCTTGGCCATGAGGCCCACAAAGACAGTGTGTCTAAAATTGTAGAGACCCAATTTTGCCAATGTCATCAATTGAGTAAAGGAAACCAAAGGAACATGATAGTTAGACCGCAAAGCCCACCTGCACTGCAGTTGTGAGGAATCCAGCACTATCCTGCCGACTTCGGCACCATGTCACTTCCCGAAAGCTTCACAGGGGCTTGACAAATTGACAAATTAAAGGGGTCCCAGGAGTCCAACTCCAAGGCTCCGAGGCTGCGGTGGCATGGTCCGTTCAGACACAGTCTGACTTCTTTTGCTTCCAAACTTGAGCGAAGAACATGCATGGAACATACCACGGCACCCTTGGCAGAGGATGCCGAAGCATGGTGGTCCCCTGCCTCGTCTGTGTGCTTCAGCGGTGGCAGGGGCCACTCGTTGCTGATGCTGGGTCCTGTTCGTGCCTCCGCTGCCGCGATGCACTTCTGACAGCGGCAGGTTATGGTTCCTGGCATTCGGAAAACTCCGTGCACTGCAAACAGGACGATGCTCAATAAAAATAGATCAAAAAGAATTTGTGCTTCTAACAGAAGACATACACATCTAGTACAGATGGTGCATACACATTAAACAAGCAAAGAGCACCAGCCTATGTGCGGGTATGAGAATGAATTGTTCATGGAAAGATGTGTATGCAATCTACGTCTACTACGCATACCCCTACGGTGCACCTACGAGCAACACAATTGAATACCTATGCACAGTAGTCTTTCATCTCACGTCGTACATATACTACATACACTACATACACGTATCAAATATTACGTACAAATAATATGTATATATATGTGTGTGTGTGCATCCTTGCTTCCGGGCGCAAAGACCAGAGCTGTAGCATGGGATGGAGAAGAAAATGTCCGATTTGAATGAAAGGCACCATGCATGTATATCATATCATATCTGTACAAACGATAACCATCATAAACAAATATGGTTGTGGACTGTGTGTGTCAACACATCTCTGAATTGTTTGGAGGTGATCCTGATCGTTCGACTGGATCACTATTTGGATCGCTTGTGGTCCCTGGCCCTGATCGAGACCAACCAATTCAACTCGCACCCATAAGTAGTTTCCATAGTTTCCAGTTTGTTCCCCTTTTTTCTTTCGGAATGCCATCAGTACTTCCAAGTTAGCAAGCCTTATGACCCCACCTGCGTGCTCGCTGACCAAATGCTTGGCAGCTCTGGCACGTTGCCGTTGTAGGAACCCAGGCGCATCGGACATAAAAATTGGCTTGGCACTGCCATAGCACATGGCGTCTGACAGGGCCAGCTGCTAAGGCCAGCTAAGGCAATAACTATCAGACTCTCAGCTGTCGATTCACCACAAAATGCTCGGCGACGGTGCTTAGAACTATGCTGTGTATAGAAATAATAAATCATTCGGTGTTCGATGTTGCGAGCATTGGGGCTTCTGCGGCTACAAGCACGTGACTTCTGATCTGGAGAATATGGTTTAAGTTTAATAGTCAATTCTGACCCTCAATCACAGTCCATATGCTTGGTCCTCGTGCTGCGAATGCACATAAGATGCAGATCAAGTTCAATGTAGACATGAAGGCCCAAGAAGAACAATGCCGAACTTTCAAGTGGCCCAAAGCGTCCAAAGCTCCAAGTTGAAATCCGCCTGGTTGGCAAAGAAGCGCTGAATTGCCGCACCAATGCCCTGCGCCTGGGGGAATCGACAGCTCGCAACAAACAAATTCAAAGTCAAAGCTGCCGAAGGCATTTGGTGCCCAAAAACCAAAGCGCAAGATGTGCACGGAATGTCCAAAGAACAGCGCCGTGAGACTCGCTTGGCATTCTACGATGATTTCAGCAGTCTGTTGAAGCCCGCTGAAGCTTCACAACCAGCTCCAGCTGCCAGCATCGGATCCAGCCTCCTCTCTCTCGAGTTGCAGCTGCTTCTCCAGCTCTGCGTTGCGCTGCTGCAGACGATTCAGGTCCTGACAGGAAACAAACCCACAGTCCCCACGGGAGTCCCCACAGCTTCCAGCAAAAGGAGGAAATTGTTGGCATAGAAAATCTGCGCTGTGTGCTGTCCTTGGCAGTTTCTTTCTCCTGGCCTGGAAAGCTTCCATTGATGATTCAAATGCAAGCAATAGCATCTTTACGATGGATGCTGCAGAGAGCAGAGCTTCTTGATTTCACGCTCTTGGAGCCACGCCAAACAAGGTCTGAACTTCTGATCTGAAGTTGCGAGACAAGGTCTGGCCGGCCAAGCGTGCTCTGTTCACACATCTTCAATCCTATGGAGCAATGCATTGTAAGTTTATCTGCCTCGAATCTCGTTAGCAGGTCATTTTCATCTCCGTGCTCTTCAGGGAATTCCTGTGGTTCGAACGCATCAGTGGCAAACATTCCCATGTGATGGGGCCTTCAAATCCAATGAGGTCCTCAAGAAAACACAAAAGTCGAGGTGAACAAGAATGTCTCAATAATGCATGAATTGAACGCATTGGATCTTGGACAATATGACGGCCTTTTCCAACACAGAGTTTCCTTCACAAGGACAGACATGTTCCAGGTAAGCATAGACAACCATTCTGCCTCATCCAATTGACAATTAGTTTATCTGCTCTTGGCATCATGTTTCCTGTATCTTGTCCTGTGATTTTGCTGCTCCCCAATTTACCTGATGATCTCATCTTTTGTACTTCCCAGACCAGCCTCTGAAGCATGCCTCAACAGCGGGTCTGCAGGTTATTAATACGCAAGCGGCGACTTGGGTTTCAGAAAATTCAGATTTGAGGTGCAGTTCTGATCTCTTCCGACCAAGACAACAAGCAGCACACATGTAAATTGTAAGGTATTAAGACTCCAGCATGCCATAGCACTCCTCAAATGAATTTCATTCAGGTTGCATTCGCAAATGATTTCAGATATACATCAAACATCAAAAGCAAGCAATCGCAGTGAAAATCGAACACCATTTTGAAACGTCCATTGCCAGTGATACTCTATTGCCAGCTTTTTGCAAGACAACCTGACCTGTTCCGTGTACGAATGGATGAATCTTGGGCACAAACAGCCATTTTGACAGAGCCCCCTCTGCTCAAGAAGATTTGCACTCTAGGGGATATGGCTGCAATCCAACAAGAAGCGCAAAAGTAGGGGATCTCCTGGCTTTGCAGGTGAATTTCCATAATGTTTTCAAAAGTCAAAAATCTGGGGAATTGTCCCATCATGTCAGGACAATGACAACTTTCAAAACAATTGAATCCCAACTGTGAAGAGAGTTCTTGTTTGGAATCAAACCTTTCTTTGGAAAATGCGATACGCAAAGCGAAAATGAATGTACGAGTAGGAAGCCACAAGAATATTGTGCAAAAGACTCACGCTGTGGTAACTGCACAACTCGAATTCCATCGTTTTCTCATGAACAAACGGATATCGGAATGATATCGGATAAACCTCTCCTCGGTATCCCATGCTTCACCTTTGACAGATTCCAAATGATGACAATTCTGATCAGGGCGAAGTCTTGATGCCTTATCAGCGGCACCTTTTTTTTGGGCACGATATTATTTCCCCATGATTTGCCACAAGGTTTCATCCTAACTAATTGCCACAAGGGAAAAAAAATATTGACACGCAGATGGACTTCAGACCTGGCAACTTCAAATTCACTGCTGCTGCTCTGCGTCAGCTTTTCGCACCATGAGCGCCGGAAGCAGCTATTCAGCTCATGCGCCGTCCATAGCAGCTATAGCATGCCTGGGTGTTGACATGTCTTGACCAGTTGCATCTGGAAGATGGAGGTTTCCTGAAACAACTAAAGGTTGCTTGAATATCCCCAGCCAATCTTGTGTTGTGTATAATATGAGTGACTTTGCGGTTCAATAGCATGGTCAGAATGTGGTGGCGATCATTTGCGATCAATATTCCACACATACCACGGGACGTGGTTTGTTTCAAGGCCAACCAAACTGAACCAATCTGAACAAATCTTGGTGGCTTTTTGATCCCCTGCTAAGTTTAACAGGGGGTTATATGGCAAAGCAATCTAACCTCAAAAATATTAAAAGCCGCAAAGTGTGTGGGCCACAATCCAAATTATGAGCCGACAAACGGAATCAGCCCGTCAACTAGTCGAGAATTTGAGGGAAGCCTGTCTCTGATTCAAACAAGCGCTCAACCAGATCTACAATGCAGAGAAATGGGGCCGATAGAGCAGGATGTGACCCCATGCTTTCAGGCATCTATGCTATAATATAGCGTCAGAAAAGGGGTGTGTGTGTGTGTATATATATACATATGTATATATATATATCCAATTATGCTTCAAAAGTCAAAGAAGCTGGAATGACACAATGTCAAGTCAAGTTCCATGCAAGTAATCACGTGCTGTTTTGCAAGGCTTGCAACTTTGAATTGCTCCCGCCTAGGGACAACCAGAAGTTCGGTTTCATCTCCACCATCCCTCACAAACCCAAGAAAAAAACTCAAGGGCGCCACGATGTGAAACTCAAACGATATGCCGAAATGGCCTGGCGCATCATGAGATCTAGCATGGTGCATGTCTTCCCACAACCCCAAAAACACACCAACACCTATACAAACCCATCTTCATTGCTGCCAAACTACCACCGAATCTTTGAGTTGTCTTCAGCACTCGAATTGAACCCAAACTTCTTGAGAACTGCTTAAACAAATGGAAGCAAAGAATCTCTCTGCGGATATTTTTTTGAGAAAACATAGTGCGGTGGGCGCGTCCGCGCTAATACACATCAAGAAACATGTGGACATTGTGTTGGAGCTAGGTATGTCCGTTGCAGTCACAAAATGTCACCAGTCGCCAGCCAGGTAGGGTAACCCGTACTGCAAACTGCCCGCGAGGGCGTTGAACATGTTCATTTTGTTTTCGAGTACTTGGCCAATAGTTTTCCTTGACGACTGAGCTTTCCGGGACCAAGTGTTCACAAGTCATGTTGCAGCGGGTCGTTTCGTTGTGGCGTGATCATGCCCGGGCCGCTAGATAACCATGTTTGCTTGGTGGATAAGTCGGATAGGTTCTTGAAATTTTGGTGTGGCGAAGAGGTCAGTGCAAGGAACCAAAACGTGCACCCAGCAGTCACAATGTGAATAGGGTTGGAGATCTGCGGTCAACTGAGTCAACAGTTCGAAGCCTCAGATGGTTGTAACCTCGCTAAAGAAGTTGGATGTCATCAGTGAAACCATTCCTGGAAAATCAGCTTAAAGTCTCGCCGCGTCTCGCCTTTGTGATCATGAACCTGGCTTCAAAGATTCTCCTCAATTTGTTTGAGGACAATGTCTGTACTGCCATTGCTTTGCTTTGGATGCGGTCGCTGCTTTGGCGGCCTATTCCTAATGCCGCTTCTTTTCCAGCTCAGCTGTTGTCAGCGGCTCCTGTCCACATTTGCACCACTGCTTTGCTGACTGGTGAAACGGCATGAGACGGCCAAAAACCCACATGGGCACACCATGGCTGCCATGGCTCATCTGCACGGATTGCAGGCAAAGACGAAGCAAAAGTAGGTTCCCCCACGGCCGCCACCAAGCTGTCGACCATATGAGCAGTACCTGCAGCGCCGCCCCAGAATCAGAAAGCTGACCGTGGGGGAGTACCCTTACCCTTACTGTGTGTTCAGCGTGTTCTCTTCGTTTTGGGCTTAATGATTAATATGTTGTGCTCGATATTCTTATTCTATCACATCTCACCCTCTTTCTGATATTTGATGCTGTCTGATCATGTCTGATCTTTTTTTGTTATACATTTCGGTTGAGAATTCTCTTTCGGCATCCCTTCCAGCCTCCCACATCGGCATTCCAAAACCTGCGGTCTGCCGGAGGAAGGTGACCAGCCACTCCGCACAGCTGGACCCTGGAGGCTCTGGCTCAGCTGGCTGGTGCTGTTGAGTGCACCACGCAGGCCTTGAAGGGCGGCTGCTAGGAACCGAAAGGTTGGAACTGGATCCCTCATATTCTATAGTCATCGCCGTCATCGCTAAAACGATAAGGGGAATTAAGACAGTGACAGTTTTATTGATTTGATGATGATCTGCTTTTTCCATATTTTTTGGGATGACTCTAGGTATCCCGGTATCCCCACCAACTGTAGTATGTTCAATGCAAACACATTATTGTAAATCGAAAAAATAGTGAAGTATAGTGAACTATTGTAGTGCACAACTATTCGGCAATCACTTCCGAATGGCGCAGCCTGTGGAGTTGCGAATGGTTCCATTGGTGCACGTATGGCAGGTGCAGGACTGGCCGAAGAAGGTGCCCGGCTGAGTCTCGCAAGTGAGGCCACAGTTGCAGAACCTGGCCACGGGGACAGGCGAAAGTCCATGGATTTTAACACATCAGTTAGGTATGGGTCAAAATTGGGGTACCAATGAATTCAAAAAAAAAATGTTCGCCCCAACCCGGACGTTGCTCCACACTTACAATCGTCATGATCATCATGATCATCATCATCATCATCATCATGATCATCATCATCATCATGATCATCATCACATTAAAATTTGCCACCCCCTCTGAGCAATATGTTGACTGGGGTAATAACATCAAATTTATCTTCATCTTCATGAGGGTTCAAAAATTCATCACCCCCTCTGAACAATATGTTGATTGGGGAAATAACATCAACTATATCTCCATGCGGGATCAAAATTTGCCACCCCGTATGAACAATATGTTGGTTGGGGTAATAACATCAACTTTATCTTCATAGCCACCTGAAGTCAAACACGGCGCAACGTCAGGGTTGCAGCGAACATGTTTAGTATGTCACCATCCCGAAATGCAGGTTGATGATTTTGGCTACAGTAATCACTTGAAGCCAATGCAGTTCTCCAATTCAGAGCTCGAGGCTTCGGGCTTAGGGGGGCCCTGCAATAGATCACTCAAAGTATCTCCCTCTTTTCAAGGCCAGCTGACCAGCTTGCAAACTAAATTTGAAGACCCCACTTCCCATGGGCTCCCAAGGAAAGGTGAAATTTGGACTTATTCGGAACTCTTCATTGTTATTTGGCAAACCATGATCACTGATTTCAATTGTTCTCTCACAGTCCCCCAATGAACTGACCAATCCGCAATTAGCATAATTAGCATCAAATGATATCAAATGATATCAAATGCATCAACTAGCCAACTGCGATATGCGCGTAATGCATTTGAGCAGCACGAAGTTCCCCCACATCTCGGCATCTTTTGGAGCGAGCGTTGAATTCACGGCGTCTGCAGTGTCTGCAGTGTCTGCAGTGTCTGCCGACGCCGTTGGAAGAAGGAGGAGCAATGCACAAACGCTTCCCAGGCGCGACATGCGAAACGGGCTGTGGAGCTCTGGAGATGATGCACCGCTAAAGGGATGAAGCGCAGCGCTTGTTCCCCCAAGTGCAACATGCTAAGTGAACGTCTGGCTGAAAGGTGAACCACTCAAATTGAAACTGGAATTTTCTTCTCACTCCTTTGGCTTTTACCTACAACCCAGCCACTGACAACAAACAATCCTGGCCTTAGCTGCACAACACGGACGTAAAGGCCAGCAGTGCCAAAGCAACAGTGCTGGGCCTCACTGATTTTGCACGAACGCACCTCACCTGTATGAACTACAAAGGTTAAATTCACTTTGTGGTGAACATCGACGCAACTCTCGCAACTGTGCCATGACCCTAGAACATGGTGAACTTATACTTTGTTGTCACCCTGAGAACTTGAATTTCCATGGGCTACAAAAGTGAAATCATTCTCTGGCTAGTCATAGGTGTGAAATTGTATTTCTTTTGTGGAGGTCACTGCAAGTATATGCGAAATGATGGGTACAGAGAAATGGGAAAACACACTGGTTTATACAACATGTACTGTTGTTGTCAAACAAACAGCAAAGGGACCTGGCTTTGCTCATTTTTATCCAACCGTGTGTGTGTGTGTATGTGCACATGTGCGCGTCTCTCTCGCACATCTGTGTCTATGCCTGTGTCCATGTTTGTCCGTATGAGAGATGAGAGAAAACATAGAAAAAATCAAGTCTGCGCGAACAAGGGAGTCTCACCACACTCTGGCCTCCTCCGGACAACATTTAGCAGTCTCAATTCCCCTTCATGAGAGATGCGGGTACAGCCCACAACAGCCAACATCTCAGTGCATGTCTTGAAACCTGAGACACGTTAATTGGCCCAATGTGATAAAGTACTCACAAGCCGCTTCCTTGAGTCCGTTCTTGCCACACCAAACAAATAGCTGGTGATAGTTCAAAAGTTCCAAGACATTCCAAGACTATTGAGAGCTGAAGCAACTTTAAGACTCTTGACAGCCATGCAGTTCTCATGTCGTTCGTCAGGAGGATCTCCACTCATTGAGCCAACACTTGCGACGGGAGAAAGCTTCCAACTGATTGATCAGCATCCAAAAGAAACTTCTCTCATTCAATCTGTCCCTGGACTTCAATGAAAGAGATATCAGCAGTGCATGACCAGACCTTTTAGATCCTTTTAGATTCTAGATGGTAAACCCTAGTTTCAAGCACCAACGCCACAACAACCTTCAAGAATGCGTGATTTTTCTTGCATTTCGATACAGTGAAGTCAAGCAATTGAAACATCTATGTCAGGCTTTCTTTGCTGTAGATATGGCTTTTCAGGGTTGGGCAAGTGCGCAGCTCTCAGCAAACTTACAATGTGGAAAATGGGAACCAAGCAATTTTCAGGATCTGCAATACTCATCAATACTGTCAATACTCAACAAAAGAAAAATCAAGCAATGTTCTCGCCCAACCTTGAATGCTACAGAAGCCAGAGCAGGAGCCGCGGCTAGTTGCAGCCACCAAACTTAGGAGCTGCATAATCACCTTGGTCCTGCCTCAATGCACCAGAGTCCTTTCCAAGCAGATCATTGTTCCAAGAAGTTCATTGAATGAAATTTGATTTCCTCTGGGCTTTGAAAATGCAGCAAGATCCCAGCCTTTCAGGGATAGCTCCAAGCTTGTCACTGCTAAGGAACCTCAGCGCAAGCAAAAAGTAAGCAAAGATCAGGGCGCTTGGGTACTTCGCTGATTTCAGACTCAAATCTCAACAGCAAACACTGCCGGAGCAGCAAAGCATAAGCCTCGGACACAGCGCCATAGTAAAAGCGCAGAAGCAGCCACTACTCCCTCAGCTCGACATTGAAACTGCTGAACGGAGGTCGTGGCTTCGACAAATTTTCATGCTTTCGGACCTTCAAGGTCTGGACACTAAGCAAGAGTGGCAAATGCGAGCCTTGGCACCGCAGGCCATGACTGGAAGGTAAATCCACATCTTCCTGGTTTCTGAGTTCCTGGGTTCCTGAGCTGTCCTTTGTCAAAAAGTCCAAGAAATCATGTGCGGTTACAGAATGCCATCCAGCAGTAAGGTCAGCTCTTCCACTATCAACAGGAATCGGAATGACCTGCAAGATTTTCTGTGCATTTATGTTTAAACTTTAAACGATAAAAAGATTCCACACTTGTATTGCATGAGCAGTGCATTCAAATTCCTGCAGGCCTCAAGCTGTTATTCTTGAAGGGCAAAATGCAAGTACTGTAGGTCTTTTTGGAACGTGCAAATTCAGTGTTCGAATCGAATCTTGTGTCTCAACCAAAAAACAACATGATGCATTTAAGTTGCATCATCAAATTTCTATATGCAGAAGGTCCAGACAATGGTGCCTTTATGCCCTGGACCTGATGGCTGACCATCACTGGCCCCTGTGTAGAGCCAAATTCGGTCTCCTCGCTCCAATGGCAAGGTATCATGCTTCTCCATGGTTAGAAGCTCCTCAGCACGTTGGCGCCACATTGGATTGCTACTCAACGCCACCAAGGTGATCCCATGGATCCCATGGTGGCCATGGCCCACTTCGATCCGAAAGTGTTCTCGGCTCACCCAGGCCAACGCCTCCTCGTTCAAAGCCTGATGGAGTTCCTGGAAGGCACGACCAACAGCCAGACTCTGTCCTTGAAATCCAACCTGCGGATGCACTCTGCGATGCTCCAAAGGAAGATCTCGAACTGCACTTCCGTCTAGCTCCAGCCAGAATGTGGGTGCGGTTGGCACCGGTACCGCTACTCTTGGCTGTGCTTCGGTCTGCTCCAAGTGGAAGCGAAGAAAACACTTCAGATCAGAGCCAGCGATGAATTCGATGCTATCACCTGGGCTCAAGAACGATTGTTGTTCCTTGGCCACTTGTTGTGAGCCCTTGACCACCACTGGATTTTGACTCAGATTTCGCATCATGAAATTTCCTGTTTCCACTTCATTTAGCTCCAAGTGAGACCTGGAGATGAATGTCAGGTTCACACTGTCCGGGCCTAGAATGCCCTCAAATAGGCCAGGCTGATGCTGTCGGCCCAACATCACAGACCTTGTTAAAGCTACCCCACGCCGCTCTGCTGGTAGATGCGAAATATCTCGACTCGCAGACATCGTACAGAGCAAATAGAAAGGGCAGCTGGACAAGTCGGTTGCCCATGTGCACCATGAACTCTCATATGTGTTCTCTATTTGCTTCGGTTCGACCTCACCCAAAGATGGATCATATGGATCCTTTTGAATGCCTAGGGCAAAACGCAACAGAAGGAAAGACGACCTGCCGTTTGCCTCGCTGCAAAGGCCAATGTGTCCACCTTTGTTCAGAAGTACCTCTTGCTGTTGTGGAATCATGACATCATCCAAAAACATGGCATTTACAGATAGTCGTCTCAAAAAGAACCTTTCACCATCCCAAGAGATAGTGAAGTGACTGCGGGAGACACAGCTCCGCAGGGCATCATCAGGAACAAGCTTCTCAAAGGCATCTGTCTGATGCGACCTTCCGATTGTCAGCGGCTCACCTTTCTGCAATACTAAGTTGATAGAAAAAGAGAAATCCTTGTCCAAACCAAATGCTTTGACACAATCCAAGCTCACTTCGACTGTCTGCACTGGAGTGGGAGAAATTGCAACTTGTGCACCTGTCAGTTTCTCTCTTGTCTCAGCACTTGTCTGAACCAGCGAGGTTTGTCCTGGTGGGCCATATGCGGCTGGTATGCCCCTTGCGCTGCGAAGCTGTGCACAGGCCCACTCCACCACTTCTGGCCAGCTGGTCTTTCTGACTACAGCTTGCGGTAAGACATCAGATGTCTTGGTCCAGAAATAGCGGCCGTCAAGGTCGAATAGCACTGCAGGAAGTTGCTGTGAGGCTTCAAGAACATGCGGAAGTTGATCATCCACCAGCCCACAAGCGCCAAGACTCTTCGCAATGGCGCCTTTTGAAGGACTGCTAGGTGTTGACAAATGCAGCCCCCCAATCATGCCAGGGAAACATCTCTGCAGAAACTGATATGTCATTGATTGGGAACTGGCCGGACGTGCAGTGATGGCGTGGACCTCAAAGTTCAAGGCTCTCAAAGTCTGAAGTGCCTCAAAAGCTCCTGACACCGCCTGAGCATTCACAGCTGCCTCGGAATTGAAGAACTGCTCTCTTGCCGCAGCATTGCTGTGTGCATAGCAAATCTGAAAGCACTCATTCACATCCAAGAGCACCTTGCCAGTCTGCCAAAGCACAAAGGCTTCAGCACATCTGCAAAGGACCTCATCTACATCAACTGCCAAGACCATCTTTTCTAAGTGCGGCCCGATCTCAGCAGATCTGCTAGCCTGATTGCTAAAGGCTGGTCTAAGCGTAGCTTGCTGCGGGGTCGCCACACGTTGCAGTTCCACAGGGTCAAGCTGAACCTGTGGGTTACCCAGTTCTTGAGGCTGGGCCCAACAGACTGGTGGTGACATCATCTGCACCGCCTGACCTGTCTGACTACCCAACGGTTGACACATCGGCTGCCCCATCGAAGGACCTGTCAACTGGCCCAATGGCTGACCATTTGGCTGACCTAGTGGCTGACCCAACAGCTGCTGACCCATCGGCTGCTGACCTAACGGCTGCTGACCCATTGGCTGCTGACCCATTGGCTGCTGACCGACTGGTTGGTGACCCACTTGCTGCTGACCCATTGGCTGCTGACCGACTGGCTGCTGACCGACTGGCTGCTGACCCATCGGCTGCTGACTGATTGGCTGCTGCCCCATTGACTGGCCCATTGGCTGCTGACCCATGCCAGGTGCCTGAAAGTGAGGTGTTGGTGGTGTGCCTTGGAGCATTGGATCTAATGGACCCAACAGTGCTTGAGGTTGCAGTCCAGGTCCACCAGGTCCACCAGGTCCACCAGGTCCACCAGGTCCACCAGGTCCACCTGGGTTTGGAGGTAACCACTCCTGCAAATAGCCAGGGCATGGCTGCTCTGGTGGGGGTGGCCAGGCACCTGGATGTGGGAAATCCACTGGTTGTGGAAACAGGCCTGGCTGTGGTTGCACATGATGCGGTGGGTGGCCTGTGAACATGGCCTCCATTGAAGGCTTGGGCTGCAAAGGAAACATGTCTGGCATAAAATCCTGCATCTCTGGCATTTGATTTTGAAAAGTTGGGGGCCGAAACTGTGGTTGCTGTGGATGCGGTTGATGTGGTGCTGGAAATGGCATTGAGCCCCAAGCTTTGTCAGCAGCAGGACGTGGAAAAGGTATCATGTTAGCGTTCGTGGGCTGTACCACAATCTTGGACGTGTTGTCCAAACTAGCGACTCCCGGCCATGGCAAGTTCCAAAATCTCGAAGTCTACAATAAAATCCAAAATTTGTTCCTCACTCTTCTGCTGCGTTCCGTTGTCAACTTGATTCTTGGGCATCTGCATCCCTGTTTGCGTTTACGAAAGTGCATGAAGTAGTTTGACAAAATGTGTTTGTCTGGTGGAAGTATGCGATGATTCATAATTGATTTGACGTCTTCAGCCACAAGATGGCACAGGACTGCATTTGCAAACATGGCAACACTGAATCCAATTGCATTGACATGATTTAGTTTCTGCTCTCGATGATCAGTCCACAAGTCTGCCTCCCCAGCCAAAGTGGCTCGCTCACGCTCAGAGCCTCTGCAGGGCAGTCGCTTATTCACCACGACACCACGGCACCAATCCTCCCTGAACAAACACCAGTCTTGACTTGGGATGGGGAACTGCTCATTTAAAGCACCAAATTAGATCTTGAGTCCTGCCTGCAATCATCGCTGACAAGCCACTTCGAGCGTTCCTGTAAAACACTGAACTCCAACTCACCGAAGGACTCAAGAGAGAAATGGGCCACTGGGCAAGGACTATTGACTGTTGAAAGACTACCAAATCAATTGCCATGGCAATGACACCGCGAGGACTTGAAGGCCTCTGGCAAACACCAGACAGAATTTCTGCCGCCTGGGCAAGACTCATGTAGGCACGGTAGGTCGTTATCTGCTGCATTTGCGGGAAATTATGGACGAGGATGCGGCAACTGGGGTGAGCAAACCACTGAGAAGCCCCTTTTTGTACCTGAGTCTCAAGGAAAAAATCAACCCTCTGCCAGAAGAAAGTTCAGAGCATCTGAGCATCTGGAGCCTGTCAACCTTGTCTTCCGTTCAAGAGTTCCATCAACACAATTTAGATATTGCTCAGTGTGTGCACCCTCAAAATGAAGAAAATATGCCATACACTTGTATATAGACATGTCTGCGCGCACAACCACTGCACCACCATTAACAGTGTTTGCATCACAAAACCTGAGATCACCAAAAAAAAAAAAAACAATTTTGTTGATGTCTATTGATTTCTGATTGTAGAATTTCGCTACTTGGTTGCCGGCTTGACCGTAGCTGATTGAGTGTACAAGGTCTTTCCAGGTGCCACCTGACACCCAAACGGGTAACGAAAAAATTGTATATAATGTAAAGTAATGTAAGATTTTTGCCTGAAAGTTTCACACGCGACGTGCCTCTGTGTAGCAACACACTTCATCAATTCGCAGTACACTTTGACCAGTCCTTGGATATCTGACAAAAAATGAAACTGATGAAACCACACTTCATGACGCTGCACATTTGCCAACTGGATTAAGAAACAAACTCATTTCGACCATGGACAGTAAGTCTTCGCCTCACGGCATGGTTCAAGCAGCTTGGTACATGGCATGTCTCAAATCTCTGTTTTTCGGTGGAGACTTGGCGGCCTGTTGAGGTCCCAGTGCGCCTACGCGTCCAAGCACGAAATACCCCTCTGAGAACAGTGTCTGGTCCGAGAACTGTTCAAGACTCAAAGGATGATTGAAGAAATAACATGCTCTTCACCTCCTCCACGCAAATCACCGTAGCCCTCCTTCCAAGAAGCCTCAAAATTGCAATGTTCACTTCAATCTATTCGATTTGCTTTGCGAACTGAGACCAGACTTGGCAAATAAAATCCAAACCTGCCAACTCAGGTCATGACTTTTCAGCCAATTTTGGAATTGGGAACATGCCTGGCTTGCAGGTATGGATTGGGGTTGGTCTCAAGACTGATTTGAAAAAAAACTGTCCGATTCAAATCAATCGGATTCTCTTTGGAATGCGCGAAGGCTGCAGTAAAAGACTCTCCGAACGTCCATTGTTTTCTTCTTTGGACCTTGGTTCCGGTTGTTTGATTTCCGTAACACATCATAGCGCAGAACGGCAAATAAATCGATAGGACAAAATTTGTGAAATGGGCTCTCCACAAATGCATCGGTTGACCGTTTCCACGTTCTTTACCTAAATGCACCAAAGTTGCATGACAAAACAGCACATCCAATGAAAATTAGAGTCCAACCAAGATGCATGTTTCAGACTAGGGTCTGGAAATTTTTGCAAGAAAGCCGCTGTCACCACGCCCTCAGTCCCAGCCACTCGGCGCTTCAGCTCTTGACCAAACCAATCGTGGAAATTGACCCAAATTGATTTAAGTTTGTCGCCCATTCAAAATCGAGAAGGTGCTGATTGTTGTATAGCGGAACAGCCTTGAGCAACACAAAAACATCAACACGATTCCAATGGATTCCAACGAATTCCAACAGATTCCATGGCATTTGTTTAGACGCCGCCTCTGCCAACGGTCTGTGGCCAGACATCACACCAAGAAAATGTTGCTGTCATACACTTGAGTTGCACTAGCAGATACCGTGCATTCTTGCTAAATCAACCAAAGTTGGAAACGACAAAAACAAATCTATGTTTGGATAGATGCACTGATACAAGACCTTCCCACCCTTTCTTGAATTGTTATGTCGGGTGATTCAAAATTTACCTTTGCTGAAGTTTTGAATTGATCGATCAGTTCAACATCAAATTACGTTACTGTCGCATGTCGCAAAAAGGAACATTTTGAAGGTTTAATGGAATGTGTTTAGGCTCGAGCTAGCGAGGTGGCACATCAAACAGCATGTTCAATCGGCGTTGCGCATTTATTTGGTGATCTGATTAGTTCTTATTTTCCATTTCCACGTGGGTTTCCATTTTATTCATTTCCTTCCATTTCTCCGAGTCTGCTTGCTTTGTTGCTCGCTGTTGATGCTGTGATTGTTTTGGTGTTGTTGCTTGCTTCCTTTGCCACTGGCAGGGATGGACTCCCAGGCATCCAATCAAGAACCACTACCCGATGGATCAAAACTATCACATGGTCTCCCAACTGCTTTGGTGCCAGCCAATACAGAGGGCACAGCCCAAGAAGACATGATCAAAGTCACGCTGCAAGATGGATCAGAAGTGTATGTGAAACGTAGCAACATAGATCTTCTTGACACGCCAGATGTGGGTCAAAAGCGCCCCCCCCCCATCGACAGTTACTTCTGGCTCAGAAGTGGCTAAGCAGGAGGACGAGGCCCCCGAGTTTGGGGATATGGATCCCAACGCGAGGAGGGCGCTCATGTAAAACAGACGGGAGATGGATTACAAAAAGGCTAGGAAACTGGATCCTGTGTCTGGCTTAGTCGATCCCCCCGTTCCCCTCCCTACGGCCAGGTTTGAACTCTCCTCCCCAGGAACTGCTTCAACGTTAGAAGAGTTACGGACGGTATTGGAAGAGTACCATTCTACTCAGGTAGTCCCAGCAGTAGCTCATATGCAGAACCGAATGGATGAAATTGCACAGACCCCAGCACCTGTAGTCCAGACCTCCCTGTTGGTTCAAAGTTTGTCAGCTTCTTTGCCAGAACGTTCCATGTGCCGGCGTACACTGCTGTTTACAGGGATGCCACATTTTCTACCATGGGCCAACATTGAATGGAATTTGCAATATCTCCTCACACGGGCAGACTTGTCATACATAGAGGATCTCCAAAGTGTAACGCAACATGTATAATTATAGTTCTGATTCAACATTGTTGAGATTGGTATTTGTCACTGAATGGGGTTGCAAGACTGTTTTCAAACATTTGAAATCCCGCCGTTTCTTTTGGCATGACAAAAACACCCAGGGTACAGTTGATTTTCCAGTTCGTTTCGAACGTGATTTCACGGCATTGGAAAGGTTTGAACGTGTTCCCTTACAAACGCTTATGTTTGTGTTTAATTCCATGGATGGATCCCCCTTCAATGGTCAAAACATGCGACCGGATTGGAATGTATTGCAGATTTGGGCCCCCGAAGGAGATGACACATTGCTGAGTCAAGTTTCATACCTACAGTCATTCCCCCAAAACAAGTGTCTCATTTATGTTCATCCACGTCATGAAACGTTGATTCACACAAATTTTCAGAAGGTCTTGAAAATTCAGGTACGTGACACATTGAAATTGTTACAGGCCTTGCAAAATTCCCTCCGTGATTCAACCACAACCCTGCGACCGCATTACCAGCAGGCGTATGACATTTCCAACGTGCCAGATTCTGATTTGATTTCAGTCTTGCCTTTTGATATTCGGTTCCTTTCCTTGACAGATGAAGTGCTTGAAGATTTGGAGAAAAATCCGTTGGCACCTGTAGTGTCAAGTCGGGGTCTCCAATCAGACGTGAACTCTGCGGCCTCTGAAAAGGGCATTTCGGGTAAGGATTTTGGTAAAGGGGCCCCCCAAAGAGACCGTGGATTTAAGGGGTCTAAGGGCAAAGGAAAAGAGAGCAAAGGATCAAAGGGACACAAATCTGGCAAGAAATCCGCCCCGGAACAACAAGCAACCCCGCTGTGGAAAGGCAACCGGCGATACGACGATGAGCCAGACAATGATCCTCCACCATGGGAAGACAAGCGAACCCCAGCCATGTATAGGTCACAGCGCTCACCTGTCAGGGGCAAAGGAGATGGTGGTAAACGATACTCCGGTGGAAAAAATCACTCCTCCTCTGCTGTGCTTGCGTTGAAGCTGTGCTTTGTTTGCCATAATCTCTTCGGGTTTAATTCATCTTGCGACCAGTGCGCGTATGGCCGGACAAATGTCGAGGCCGCCCGAGCCATGGGATCCACACGTGATCCAGAACCCATGGATATGCTATGCAACATGCCTTGTCACTTTGATTTGCGGACTGAAAGGTGCTGCAAATTTGCCCATGAGAAGGGCGGACTTCTGGGACATGGAGATTGCGTCCAATGCCACATGTTGAAAAGTGCGTGGCAACGGTGGTTGCTCCAGGGGCTGGAAGCCCCCCATGCCCTGCACAAGTCTTTGATCCGATCACTTCTGGAAAAGTTGACCATCGGCGCATTTTCTTCTCCCGCGTCCACGTTTCCTTCGCTCCTCAGCGACCAGCTGCTGGCTCAGGTGAGTGAAGTTTCTCCTCCCGTTTTTCAAAACTGGATGGCGAAAGTTCCTGCCGCAACAGACCTACTGCCTATCCTCTTTAGTGGGCCTCCATTGAAATGGGAACAGCCATCTGAGAGAGCTTTGCTGGCCGACGAATGGCAATATTTTGACACCATGGACCAAGCCAACTACAACTGGACTTTCTACACCCTGGACAGTATGCAAGCCTTGATAGGCGCTTGGTTTGACGATTTCTTGGTTTTGAACAAATGGCAGGAAACATTGTTGTGGGCTATCCAGCCTTATGGTTCTACTTCATCATCCGCCGTGCCGAGTACATTCATTCCTTGGGATCGCCTGGTCGCAGCTTCATACAGGGCAGCAATGGCGGAAGCCAAACTGCCAGCACCTCAGCGATGGCGCTCGGAAAACATCGATAGATTGGTGAAATACTACTTTGATCACAACAAAATGTTAGATACCCTTCCCAAGTTAGACCAAATAGCCGCAGACTGGGCAGATTTTTTGGCACAGGACCCGGAAGCAATGAAAAAATTTTTTGGAGTTGACCCTCACACCAAAGAGAAGCTCAAACACCCAGCAAATTTTGCATCGAATTTCAGTGATTGCTTGTACTGGCAGCTCGCTGGGCTGTACAAAGTACAGTCAACGGCGACGCATCAGTTGCAAATGCCCAATTCAGAACTAGGCATGTTGTATGAACTGATTGCGCAGCATCTCAAAGCCAACCCTGCACATCGACCAGCAGCTGAGTTTGGCGTCAATCGAAACTATACCCAGAAAGGCAATTCCATGGAAGCTCTCATGCTGCATATAGCCGAACATCTCTCCCACATTTTAGTTTGGTCCACAGCATGGGCAATTTTGCAAGCACAGTTTAAAGATTCCACCCATTGGTGGCTGGAGAAGGTTGTTTACTGACTGTACTTCCTTTTGCTTCTGCTGTTCTATTTTCCACCCAATTGCCAACAACCTTCCCCAGTAATCTGGAAGAGTGCCACCAATGGGCACGCCAACTTAGCCCTTCAACAGCAAGGGCGCGGACAGCAGCACCACGTAGCTAAAGGTCAGCCTGCGCCCACAATACCTGGCTTGACAGTTCTAATCTTTGGGGGCTTAGTTTTAGGAAATATCAATGAGTTTCTCCATTCCCTAAATGGAAATATTGTTGTGGAGCCTTGGAAGGTCTCTAGTCCGTATAGAAACCTTGGGCACAGCCCGTTGACTCTTCCAAACGGAATGATCGTGTTTTGGATCTGTTGGAAACCTGCAGCGTTTAGAGTTTGGTATAAACGCCGCCAAAAGTACAGAGTGTTGGAAAGCTCAAAACAGGATAGCCCTCTTCTGTATCGCCACCTCGTGAAAGCGATCACCGCCAATTGTGGTGAGCCGGGAAGCCGCCACCTCATTCCAATGGATCTTCAAAGACGATGGCTATGGCATCGTGCGTTACAGAGCGGCCACGAAGATCGCCCAGCTGTCGGGGGAAATCAGACGGGCTTTCGGTACCGTTCCGAGGCGGCTAGAGCCCGCCGTAAGGAACAGACACGAGCCCGCAGAGCTCAATCTAGGCGAGACTATAGAGCTTGGAAAATCTTGCAAGGTGAGTCCTTTGGCTGGGCAAGCCAAAGGGTGTTAGCACCGCCCCCGCTTCTGCCCGCAAACTCGACATTAAAGCGGTCAAATCAGAGTAGGATTCCAACCCAGCCTCAATATACAGCGTCAAGGAAAACATGGTTTCGAACGTACGTGCAACGTGATCACCATTCGGGTAATATCCCTAAACAAGCCAGGTTACATACCCCAATCAAGGTAGCCACTTGGAACATTGAGGGCCTCTATGAACTCAAAATACGAACAAATTATGGAATATATGATCCGTAACCATGTAGCAATTGTGGCTTTGCAGGAGACAAAAGCAACCCAAACCCATTCCTTTATTAAAAAGGGTTTCGAATTCTTTTTCTCTGGAGATTCTGGTTCTAAACATCATGGTGTCGGCTTTGTGGTCGCCCCCCAAACGAGACACTTGGTGGTGAATTTCTTAGGCTATAATGGCAGGTGTTGTTCCATTGAT